TTTTAGTTGTATAGTCCTTTAATAATGTTTTACATTTTATATCCTTACATGAGTTATTATTATCACAGACATGAATTTTTAATGTATCAAAATTATCCTCTCTATCATTAATCATGAAGTTCATAAACATCGTTTTGTTATAGTTTATTGATAGTTTTCTATGGTTAAGAAAATCGACTACACTTTTAAACCCTTTAGTAGCTTTAATACGTACATCAACCCATGAGTTTCCCGAGAAAAGTAGACATGTATCATCAGCATAGGTAGTAATAAGTCCTTCAATTTTTAAATTACAGATATTATTTATATACAAGATAAATAAAATGGGACCCAGTACACTACCTTGTGGAACTCCACAGTAGTCAGTAACTACCATTTCATTACCGATAAAATTATTTATCCGCACTATCTGTCATCCAAATAACTTTTAAGCTAATCTAAACTTAATGAAATAATACMAAATTCAGGCAAAATATTTAAAAGTTTTGAGTGATTAATTGTGTCAAACGCTTTGGCTAAGTCTAAAAATATAGCCATTACTTTCTTATCATCATTATGTGCAGAATTTATAAAGCGCGTGACGTTATATAATGCATTTTCCGTACCTAATCCTGGTCTGAAACCAAATTGATTTTTAGACAGGAGTTTGAATTTTTCTAAAAATATGATAAGTTTTGTCCCCGTTTTTGAACAGAGGTTTGATTACTGCCACTTTAAATTTCTCCGGGAATATACTGTTTTTAATACTTAAAATTGTAAATAAGGGACTTATTATTTTAATAGCTACATGTTTAATTATTTTAACTGAGATTCCATCAAAACTTGCAGCTGTTTCATCTTTTAAGTTATTGATAACCTTTAGAACTTAAGATTCACAACATTTCAGTGAAAAATTGGTTAATAGAAACTAAAAAAACATCTTTATACGTCATAGTCGATTTTTCAATATTATTGGATAGATTTTTGCCTAAATTAGTAAAAAAATTGTTGAATGTATTTGTTACCAATTGGGGATTGTCAAAAGTATTTATTGGTCTGTCATTTATCTTAATTTTTTTAATATCATCATTTCTTGTGTTTTTTCTATCAGTGATCTCACTTATCACTTTCCAAGTATGTTTTGGACTAGAAGATACTTTATTAAATTTATATTTAAAATAATTAGTTTTTGCAGCTCTTAAAATCGTTGTGAATTTATTTTTATAGTTTTTTATAATAAGAAGCAAGCTTAAAAAATAAATAATAAATATTTAATAAATAAATAATTCAACCCATTTTTCATTATTACAGAATTTGTTTAGTTTTATGTAATCTATCATTTTGAAACTATTTATAGTACTTATTTCTTTGTTTTCGTTTTCAATAGATGAAATTGTGGAAAAGTGATCTTTGATGTTAGTTTGTAGTACTCCTGCCTCAATGTTACATTCATTTACATTTTTAATAAAAATGTGATCCAAGCACGATGGTCTCATGCCTATTGGCGTTCTTGTAAACACATTAATGAAAGATTTAAAACCGTTTTCTGATAAAGTAGGTATCTAAATATTCTTTATCAACACAGTCATTACCTACAATGTTTAAATTTATATCTTCGAAAATTATGATTTTCCATTAACATGAGTGGTAAATATACTATTTAACGTGGTCAAAAATTAGTTTCTATCGCCTGAAGGTGACCTATAAATACATAGAATACATAATGATAAATAATTAATTTTCATAACAACTTTTAAAATATTAACATTAACATATTCATATTCAAAAAAAAAGATCTATACATAGTTTATCTTTCACATATATCATAACACCATCATTTTGATTTCTCTTAATGTTTGAAAAATATATTGAGAAATTACAGTAATTCACATCATGACATGTTTCTGATAAAACAACTATGTCTAAAATTCTATTATTTACATCATTTTGCAAAAATAATAGTAGCTCATCAAAATGATATTTTATACTTCTAATATTACAATGGTATATATTAAAACACTTTTCATTAATTATTTCGTATTTATTCATAAATTTTGATATGGAAAAAAAAAAATTAGTTTTATAATCTAAAAATCGATCTAATACATTATTTTTACTCATAGTGTTTGAAATGTTTTATTTAGAAAAATACGGAAAAATAAATTAAGTTAAATTGTTCATGTTTAATTTGAAATTATTTAACTTTTAATAAGTCAGCCTCTTCATTTATAATAAAACCTTTAATGTTTTCGTTTTTTTTAAATAAAAATTTTACAATCATTAAATCATTCATATTTGAAATATTTTTCTTTAGCAAAACTCCTAACTTTGTAGAATAGATAACTATTATATTAGTGAGATAATTGTTTATAAAAATACCTGCATTTCCCCAACTTTCATTTATATTATTTGACTTGATTTTTTTCTTTTTTAACAGATCCATTAGGTCTTTTTTCTTATCAGTGGACATTAACTCGGCTACAATCTTCATTGGTTTATCGGGTATTCTTGAACGGATGCGATAAGCCTTAACAACAGAAACTTGTTTTCCTAGTTTGGACGCAATGTCTTCGACTATTTTTACGCAATTTTCATTCTTGTTATCTGGTACTCCTAATATTTCTATATGATTTGCGATTTGCTTTTGTTCAAATAAGTTAACTCGTAATGATAAAATGTTAACGTCCGATTTTAACTTATGATTAATTTTATTTTTATTTTCTTCCTTTAATTGTTTATGGTATTTAATATTATCTTGTAATTGCTTAGCGAAGACATCGAATCTGCTGCTCATAAATTGCACATGAAGTGGCCAGATTAGCGAGCRTTTCATTTGATCCTACGAATTTGTTTTGAGCTTCCAGTTCTATAGTACCAATGCCAGAGGTTTTACATTTTGGACAAATTTTTTTTTGTTGACAGCAGATAGTTTTCTAAAAGATTCCTCTCTAAAACCAGCGCATGTAAAATGTAAGAATTCTTTGCACACGAGACATTTTAAATCGGTGCCATTAGTAATATCTTCAATACAAACTGAGCACAACATATCATGTTTAGGCAAGGTAATTTAATTGTGATATATAATATTATACATAAAAATATAGTAGGTATTCTCGAGCGAAGCAATAATTTCAACGATAAGATAAGAGAGCACAAATTAACAAAAACACAACCTGTAACGCTTGACTTTAGATGTCCAGATAATAATTGATATACAATAAAAAAAATTTTCCTTATGTTTCTAAGTTAATCTAATTACATAAAAACTAACTTTCAGGTTCATTAACTATGAGTTTTTACCTATATGCATTTTTATTTTTGTAATAAAAAAAGTAGTAGTTAGTATGTCATTTKATTGTATAAATATTTAGATTTTCATAAGAAAAAGGCTAATATAAACATACTAGCATTTTTAATTCCAAACTTTATTAAAATTTGTGATTGTATTTTAGAGCGCACACATACATGATTGTTCTTGGATAAGTTTTATATTGGATTTTGCTACTAGAAAACAAAGATTATACTACCGAAATTTGTTAGACAAGTTAACAGGAATAACCAGAGTAAAACCAAACAGTTCCAAGTAAGTATTATTTTAAAACTATAAATTATAAAAAAAATTTTTTCTTGGGTGGTTGTTCAGTGGTTCACYATCTTTTAAAAATGAAATGAGACCTTAGAAATACTTTTAACATTCAATCTGATAAAAGACCGAATTTAGCATAAAATGCATGTTGCTATTTTCAACACATGTATGTAGTCCACAAATCATCATACGTCATTACATGGTTGATTAATGATAAAAATTGTATACTGCATGTTAGTGCATGTTCTACATATTTTTGTATGTTTTAACAAAACACCGTACAAATATTCACCCTATCAATACAAAAAGGTTTGAAAAAAAAAACAGATAATAGGTACATTTTATAAAATATCAAATATTTCACGTCTCAAGGAATATTCTGACGCTAAAAATAGGTTACTAAACTTCAATAGGTTGGTTATATGAGTTTTACCAGGGATTGGATTTACCTATTTTAATTAATGATTAATGATTTTAAAAGTAATTTCTAAAATACTACATGGTAACAGTGCTTATTTCATTGATTTATCTGTTCCAAATTATTCATCAGATAAACTAGCCAATTTTAAATATGTTCAAATAACCAGTGTTGATGTTGAACAAACCAGGGATGGAAAACGTTTTTAAAAAACATGATTATACGGAAAAAAAAATGAAAAACGAAAACGAAACAAAACAAAAAACAAAAATAAGTTATAGTATTATACATTATTTAATTATTTATATCACGAAAAACAAAATGTCAAAAAACAGAAAAACTGATAATTCTGATAATATTGTTGACAATAAAATAAAATATATAAATAGCATAGAACGATTATTATTGTAGGCAACACACACACACTGCAGTGGTAGCGGTAAAATGTATTATCTTTCATCATGATGGTCATGGTTCATACTTCATAGAGTAATCTATAACATGGTTTCAACTTTCAATGATTATTATCTATTGATTTTGGACTCTTTACCAATTCACTTTTAAAATTTAAATATTAAGCGTAATTGATTTGAATTTTTAACTTTTAAGTGCATTTCTATATTGCGCGTTACAATTGTAACTTAAAAGTTTTAACTCAGTTATAAGTTATAAGAATATATTATATATATATATATATATATATATAAAAAATTATCAAAAACTTTATTTGGAAACAATAAGAAAATATCGTTAATCTAAAACGTAATAATCAAAAATGTTAAACAAAAACGATATTTTTTAAATCAATAATCAAAAGTTAAAACAAAAAAATTTAAAACGTGTTCCATCCCCGTGTTGAACACAGTTTTTCATGCTACTGGTACATTCTTACATATGACATATCACTGTCATAATTTCACAGAAATAAACATGGAACTACTTATTGTTTTACCAATTAACATACTATATTAAATTTTTCTTACTTTTTTGTTATTTATATCACCAATGTATACTATTTAATTAAAAAAAAATATTTTTACAATGTATCATTGATTAAAAATTAAATTGCAATTTAACAAATTACATTTTTGTATTGAAAATTTACTATTATATTATACATCTTACTTTTTGTTTATAAAAATTTTTATAACAATAAATTATTATCACTATAAAATAAAAATTTATTAAAATTGAAATTTTATTTTGCATATTTTGTATCTTTTCCTAGCATATTTTGACTTTTTTTAGTGCATGTTTACAATTTAAAATGCATATAAATCCGGTTTTTACTGATAAAAAACCAACCCACTTTAATTTTMTACACAAAAGTTAAGCAGATTGTTCTCAATTTTCATTTGCTTAGTGWGCATTTGTAATAATATGAAGATACCACTCATGCACAGGGCTAGTAAGTTGATAAATTTATGTATTAATCTTGCAAGTTGTATTTATTGCTAGATGACATAGAAATCCATTTCAAGGGTCCATTGTTAAGTTGCTTATTCGAAGGTTTTTTGTTGTCTATTTGGAATATTTATTTTTATTTATATTTTATCGGGAATATTACCACTTATACATGATTTTTAGATTCTGAGCGGAGCGATGAATGTATTGATTTTACCATGATGTGTGTTTTTTTTTTTTGTGTCTTTCATCACGTTTTGGGGCAGTAAAAATGCTTCGATTTTTGACTTCAGTACCTCGTTCGGTCAGAAAGTGAATCTAGTTGGTACTTTGGGGGGGTCAAAAATAAAAAATTCTTAATACTTTTCTAAATAATTGAGAAAAACAAACTAAAAATTAAGGGAAAAACGGGAAATTTTACGCACACTCATTTTTCGACAAAATCGATTTTGGTTTTTGATGTAACTTTAAAACCAAAGACCATAGATACATGAAATTTTCACCTAATGTTTATATAAGTATATTCTATCCACCATGCAATTTTCAAAAAATTTCGACTTAAGTTGAACATAGGCATTTCAAATTTTCGATCATTATTAGTTTTTTTTAAATTAATATCGATAAAAATTTATTTGTTAGGCAGAAAAGCTTGAAAATTTAATACAAGGATCTTAACATATTGTTACAATAGCAGTTGAAAAATAAAATAAATTCATAGTCACAATTTTTTTTAATAAGCATTCAAAGTTTGAATTTTGACAAAATACGTAAAAATCACGAAAATTCACAAATTATTTTAAGCTAGAAATTCATAAAAAATTTTCTTTTTAAATCTAAGATTTGAAAATTTTTTAATAATCTATAATATATCCTAGACAGATAAACCGTCTTCGCTCAGAATCGTTTGTTGTATACAATGATATAATATCATTGGATTCAAATTTAATTCCATCCATTACAGTAACCCACTTGTAACCTACTGTACAGCAGAGCGACATACGCGACTTACCCGCTTTTTTCATATTCCTATTCATATCATTATATCAATCAATAACCTATGCAGGATTTTAGTTCAGTTAGAGTCTTACAATTAAAATTTAATTTCATATCTATTAAAAATTACTAATAATTGATTGACTTGGTATATTAAAATGGTGGTAGGTAAATACATTTTTTTTTTTTGTAAAAACAAGAAATTTCAGGGGCTGTCAGAAAACTAGAACCCTACCTCTGTGCATTGATATGCATTTTTTTTATTTAAATACTATGAAAGAATTAACATTTGACGAGAAAATAATTTTTCATTATAATATTATTAAATGTTTGGGAATTCGTTCACAACATAAAATTATATAAAAATGTAAATAGAAATTATCTTATCTTCTTGATTATTTAACTAAAGTTTCTTGGAATTTGGAAAGTTTTGGAGATTGTTTCAGTTGTTATTGTGACATGTGAGCGCGTGTATTTGTTTAAAATCCAATAATAATATTTTACATGTTCACATACTGTAAGTGCATAATTTTTGATATTTAGTGCATATAAATGCATATTTTGTCAATTTTGAGTTTATAAATGCATGCTTAGTTAGGCATTTCTTAGGGCATGAACTTATGAGACCTGCTCATGCAGATATTATGTCCTTTTAAAGAGTTCATTCTTTTAAAACATGCAGGTAGTTAACAAAACCTATCTTAAAATATTCTTAAGAAATAAATATAATCTGTGTTACCACTTTGGAGACACTACCACTGAAACATTGCTTATGTCAGTTGTACAAAATTTTGTTATCTTTGCATGACAATTATTATTGAATAATTAATTTAAAATTAAAGTATTTCAAAACTAATACATTTTTAATTTTAGGATATTGCATAGACAGCAGATCAGTATGCAAAATGATAATAAAGAATGGTGTGTGGCTTTTCCAGAACCAGATCAAGCCGTTGTTGCTCGATCAATTCATCATGCAAAAACTAAAGATAATTTGCCTTATGATTTTGATGTTCAAAACTATATGGTTTTTGGCAATTTGATGACAGCTCTTGTTGGTCTATTTGTATTCATATCAACATCAATCTTGGTTTTGTTTAAACCTTTTAGAATTTTCCTTGTTCGAGTATGATAATCCTATAATTAGAAGGTGGTAGAGCCATTTTAAGGTGATGTGACTATGAACTCAATATATTTATGTGGTTTTTAAGTACTTAAATAATGAGAGTTTTATTTATTCAACACATAATCATACAGTGGTGTATCATAGAAAAGTTACCGGGCGGCGTCATATACTAGTATTTTCTAAGTTATAAACAAGATGCCTTTTAAGTGCAGGTTTACTATTTCACTTTTCGTGTTACTTATTCTTTTATTACTGTCAAAAATTATTATTTTTGATTAATTTTTTTACTTTTTTATTTAATAATTTTTACATTGTATATAAAATTGTGTTTATTAATTGATAACATACTAAAATATCTTCAAAATTAATATATATATATATTAAAAGGTTAAAAGTTACTGTTTTGAAAGTTTGTTTTAGCAAATGTGCTGTAGTTAAGAAGATGTGATACTATATTTGTTGTCTCCATCTTACAAGTGCGTTACATAGCAATTCTTACACTTAGTAAAACACGTGCAGCTCTGTTAATCTAAAATTTAGAGTGAATTGACCTCTAATAAAATTTAAAGGTAAGATTATTATCTAGACAACCTTATAGACTTTTTATCATATTTTAATTTTAAAGCGAATTATGTGTATTTTAAAATTTAAATTGTATAGTACAATTTTACAATATTTAATGTACAGTTTTAAAATATTCATAACTTGTTTTAAAATTAAAATATGATAAAAAGTATGAGGTTGTCTAGATTATAATCTTATCTTTAAATTTTATTAGAGGTCAATTCACTCTAAATTTTAAACTAACAGAGCTACATGTATTCTGCTGAGTGTTATTAAATTGCTATGTTACACACTTGTAAGATGGAGACAATACATGCGGGCATCAGTGTATCACGAGGTCCTTTTAATTTTTATTTAAAAAATTTAAATTGCTCAAAAAAAAAAAAAACTCCTTCAATAGGATAGAATCATTGCTATTATCATATGACACTAGCCAGTGAGAACCTCAGATGATAGACTAAAATTTTACTACACTAACTTTAAGCATATTATATTATTCATATAACAAATAAATTGTTATTTATGTTGATTGTGCTCAATGTAATATGATAAATGATAATTTATATAAAGTTAAATATAAAAAAGAAATATATATTATTAATTTATAGTATTATTTAAATAAATTGGCTACCCTTTGAATTTCTGGTCCCATACCTTAAGAGTGCTTTGATTATTGATAGCTTTAATTTTTAAAACTAATGAGTTTGTAATTTCTAAAATCTTAGTTTCCGACATTATCTTCTTGTGGGCTTGCAACGAAAACAGGTCCAACAGAAGAAGTAATGGAAAATACATGCATGTCATTAACTTTGATTGGTTACGGGACAACATCTGTCTATTCCCCTAATGCTTATATAAAGGATATTACATACAATGATAATACCACTTCAAGAAAAACTATTGCTAAAGTAATTTTTATTTATACTAATTGCTTACATATTATTGAATGTTTAAATATGTATTAATATTTTTAGACCTATCTTTGACGTATTTTTATTTTTATAGGTTATAGCTAAGAACCCATTTTATGGACTCTCTAGTAAAGCTGTTGTCTTGGGAGCAATAACTATATTAAAAGATCATATTAATATTCCCAAAGGGTATGAATTTTTATTAACAAATAATGCCTTTAAAATATTATTAAAATATTTTTTTGTACAGGGGTGTTTTAACACCAGCTGCTGCATTCCGTAACACTCAATTTGTGAATCGTTTAATAGATCATGATGCCGTGGTTTTTGAAATTGAGTCCGACTTGATTACTTACAAACAACAATCAAAATTAATTTAAATCTACTGTCACCTATTTAGTTGTTTTTTAGTTTTTTGCAATGTTTAAGACCTATTCCATTAAATTATATCTCTTTGCCCTTGTTAGAATTAAATTTTTTCTATTTTCAATTTGTAATTGTTTACCTTATAAGTTTTCAGTAGCTCATTTGTCTGACAAAGAGTACAATTATTCAACGGTTTTAGTTGCTTTATCTTATAATCATTTATTATATGTCATACTCATAAGCTTGCTTTTTAAAAGATATCTACATGTTCTAGTATAGTATCATTATAGATTGTTAAATTGTTACAAAACTACTTACATTGCTTTACTAGTTATTGAATATRTTAAAATATCAGTATTTTATGTATGTACACTAGAAAACGATTATATTGAAGATGTAGGCTATAGTGAAATATCAAGTTTAGTGATTTAGTCTTAAAGGCATGGGCAAAACTCCTATATTAGTATTAAATAATTATAATGATTAAATTTGACCTTTGAATGTAATTATTAACAGTCCCTACAGAGTACAGTGTGTGTGTGTATAACAGCCTTTTTATTTTATATATATTAATTATGTATTGTGTATTAATTTTCATAACTAATATATTTTACTGAATAATAAAAAAAATAAACTAACTAAATACAAATTGTGTTAATATCATAGGATGTATTATATATATATTTTTAAATATCTACATTATTATTACTTTTTTTTTTTGGAAAATGAAACCTAAGTTATTTATCTACTAGTCAAGCTATATGCATATATCTTAAGGATAATAAATGATGATTTAATACTTCCAAAAAGTACAACATTTTGTTTAAAAATAAGATTATTAAATTATTATGTTGCATAGGAGAGTGTTTTAACACCTCTGATGCATTTYGTAATTTTTGATTTTCAATTGATGAATGATGCTTCAGTTTTTGAGTTTGTTACACATGCCATTAATTTTGATTGGTTGATGGTAGAAATCTATCCAGTCTGCTCGGTATTGCAAATCTAAATGTTCTAACACAGAAAAAAATTATTATTTAGAAATCATTAGGGCTAGGATTGGATTTATATATAGTAAAAAATTGTAAAATATGCATTTTATGTACCAGCACATGCAAAAACAAATTTATTTCTAGAATATTATTATTTATCATGATTCATAATTTTTTATCATTACATTAAAATATATTGGTTTATATAATTATATTAAATATTAGTTTATATAATTGTATTATTAAATATTAGCCTACATCATTACATGCTATTATATTTTGTTTCAAATACGAACGACTGGTGGATTAAACATAGTGTTTTATGCAGCCTTTCCAGTGATCAATTTGATAATAACTTTTATAGAACTATATGATTTATTGCTCAACCTAGTTTGTTTTTCCCATATCTGCTAAAACTTTCCGACTGAGACTTGATATTAAATATTATTTCATACATGTTTACTTAACCTAGTTAATATTTTTAATATTAATAATTTTTATGATTATACATGATACAACAATAGTTAATTTTATATTTTATATTATCAAAATATTATGTTTTATTGGTATTATTGTATGATTGTGTTTTAACTTTGGTTGCTAAATTTGTAATATTTGATTTGTGAATCATTTAAACCATAAATAAAAAAACACATACAAGTTCCCTTTTACAAAAAAATTTTGTTTATACTATGTAGGATTAAAAACAGCCGAGAAAAAATAAAAACAAACTGATTAACTACAGTTATAAAAACTAATAATCCATATAGTTTTTGAAAGTATAATTAATAATTTGTTTGTGTTTTCTCAATTGTTTTTATTTTTACACAGTGTTCAAAACATTTGCTCTTAAGTTGTCTTTATAAGAGGTCGCTTTTGTGTCTAATTAATACTAAAAAGTACACCATACCAAGATTTTTTCCAATTTTTCGCTTTTTTTATTGTTAGCTTTGTTAGCTTTACTATTAGAGTACGTATTATTTCCTAATTCTGAATATAAAGATAAGAGTATTATATTATATAGAGCTTATAATAGGCTTTTAATGAGTTTTAATGTAAAATTTAAATTTTTATCTGGCATAACATTTTAATTTAGAATAATTTAGATTTGATAGTGAAAAATAATGTTAAGGTCTTGAAATAGTTTTGAAAACTTTATTTTTGAAATATATACATAAATTCATATATTATTTAGTCTTCCGTGAAATTCCCATATCACTAATAGTATGTTTAGGAAAAATTAATGTATTTAAATATGTTTTTTTAAGTATTATGTATGGAAATTCTAATTGAATGTCATACATCAAGTTTTTCACAACAATCTACATTGAAGATGTAACGTCCAATACTCAATAGTCTTACATAATATGTAGATATAACTAAGGATAAACTATAGAAAATTTGACTAACAAACTAAAAACGGTAAAAAGTTAAGCTGTTTACTAGAATTTCATTAAATCGATTTTAATTAGTTTGTTAATACTTCAAAAATAATTATGCATGGAATTTTCAATTTTTTCTTTCAATCTAATACAATAGTCTTATATTTATGAATTATGACTTATGCAACGACGTGGTTAACGGTCGGACGTATAAAAAGTTGCTTATAAAATGATCCTTAATCTAAAAAATATCAAAAATACAATATATTCATTATTCACTTTTTTTTATTTAAAAAGTTAAAATGTTTATGGCACAAATACAATTACGATCATTTGCAAATCATTTTGATGTTGTAATTTATTAATTTATGTAATAGAAATTTAAAAAAAAAAAGTGTAAAATCAAATAATAATTATAATATTTAATGAGCATTTAGAATTTAAAATGTTGATGACATTTTCTCAAAGAATACATTAAAACATATACTATTATTTTTTATCCACAAAGGAATATTCAAATTATTAAAACATAAAATTTCTTTTGAAAAATGTTTTTTAATGGCATATCAATTTTGTGAAATTCAAAGTTTAATATAATATCATATTATCATTAATTCGTTTTTTTTTTTTTAACTAACTTATTTATTACCTATATTTAAATAGGAAATGAATTAAAAAATATTTTGTGTAGAAATCTGGGAATGGGGACAAAGAATTTATGTGAATGTAATGTAAACAGTTAGGCTCATTAGGTTTTTAAAGGTTTGCAGTGTTACCAGTGATTAAAAATAAATTATAAATATAATAATTAGGTATCAAGAAATAATTTTTCTCGTGATAATATATTTTACATCTTCAAATCGGTATTTTTTACCAATTATACACATCACAGTAAACTCTGTTTTTAATATTTTAATCTCAACCTTTATTATAATCGAGTTGGTCTTTAAAGATATGACAATTTATTTAAAACTCTTTTTTATACCATTTTTTGAAATAATAATAAAATAAATATTGGACTTCAGTGAGATTAGTAGGAACTCTTCTTTCAGATGACAAAATAGTAAGTCCACTAAGTCCAGAAATTCTACAATGCTCTTGAGCTTTTGTGAAGTAATTTGTTGTTGATATAATATACCGTATCAATCCCTCCTAAGTAGGTATCGAGCAGAAGATTATTGTAAAAGTATTATAATTTATTAAGATGGCTAGATGGCATATAAAATTTAAATTTCAAATTGTATAGTTTTGTGGAAAAATTCAAAAAATCGGCAACAGAGCCCCTTATTAATTTCAAAACGGCGCGCGGCGCTTATCGTTATCACTGCGTGCCGTTCATATAAATCTTAACAACAACGTGATAAAAAATTGCGCCTCCGTAATTTGTGCTAAGTCATTTTGATTTGTTACTAAACTTGTGACGGGTTGGCTCCAAACGTTTAGACCACTAGTGGAATCCAACCAATAGTGAGATCGTTTGCCACAGACTACAGTCTGTGTCTCCGAAAAATTGGATGATTTTCCTGAATTAGTGAATTATTGTTGGTAGCTCTACCATCGTTATAGGTCGTACGAAAACCGAGTACACGGACAATGCGAATATAAGGTATGTCAAATGCACTTTTGTTTTCGGAACCTGGCTTGGCTGGCTTGCTACAGTGCCGCCTTCGCGTAAATCAAGCAAGAACAATCCGCMATTATTATTTCGAATGGCGCCAGTCTCTTGCGTCTCGACCATTATTCAATTGTTGTAGTTCCGATCCGTGCCGTTCTGCGTAGAATGTAGGTACTGTGTGGTACTGTGCTACGGTCTGTTGCGACACTGAAGAACCGTGCTCCTGTCACGAATTAAGATATTTTAACTCGTGGGTGCTGTACGACCGCATCTGTGGATTCAAGTCGAAGGTACATCTCCCGTGTTCGGTGGTTACAATTTTTGACTTCTTAAACAGGTAAGTGCGACGAACCTACCTCGAGATATTTCGTTGCTTTATTTGAGATGTTCCGGACATATATGATTTGCGTTTATTTGTCGCTTGTGTTATTGGTAGATGGAAATTTTATTAAGACATAACATTGATTTTTTTTAATTCCAATACGTGTTCAGAATTTTAAAATTCAATGGATATTTTAATTACATTTCTTACTTATCTCTATGTTACTTGTGTGTTGTGTTACTAATTTGGTCATAGTTTATTATTTCAATATACTTACAGTCGTAGGGCATATCAAATAAGATATAGAAAAGTTGTGGGAATTGTTTTTGTTGTGCTAAACGTTGCAGAATCTTGAAAATATTGTGGTTGTACTTACATTGATGTACCTAATTAAAAAACATATTCAATAATTCCTTTGCCACCCTTCATGTATCTCTAATATTTCTGTCTAGAACATTATTCCATTATTATTATAAACAGTGCAAATTTCTATTCATGTCCCAGGTTCACTCTGTTTTCGTAGTCTCGAAATACATATTATATTTACTTGACATCTATTGGCTTTGATTTTTTTATTAGGTAGTTATTGAATTTTTTATTTGTTAAAAAGAAATCTAATTACATACCTAGTTAGTTATTTTTTTCTTTTATACTCTAGGTTTATTACTCTAACCTACCTCTGGTGTTAATAGTAATGTTTAAAATGATATTAAAATTTGAAATGTTTGGTATTAAGTGGTATACTTCTAAATTAAAAAACTTTTATTATTTACTTAATTTGTTGAGTTGTTGACATAATATTTTGGTTGTTGATACGATTCAAACTATTTGATTAAAAATATATCAACACATAGATATTATAAGTGAACCATGTTTTGTAGTATTTGTGTAAGTTTTTGATTCATTTATGAAATTAATTAATTAAGAAGATGCTACACGTGTATGTGTTGTCTTCCCAAGCTAATAACAACCAAATTCTAACACAATAAAGAGGAGAATATTTACTGTGCAATGTTGTTTTTAATTTTTTGATATCACAAATGTGAAAAAAGTTCTTATTATTTAAAAATGAATTATTTTTGAGTTTTTCAAACTTGAATAACTTTTCATTTTAGTTTTGATATCAAAAAAGTAAAAATACATTGCACTGTAATTATTTTCCTTTTAATAGTGTCAAAATTTGGTTGCTTARTTTGCAGATTACAGCTTGAGTGGTTCTCTCTCATGCAAAACAGTTTTTGCAATGTTTTACATTTGTAAGACGGAAACAACATATGCGGATGCAGCATCCTCTTAAATTAGAATTGTTCATGAATTTCAGAGTAAACATTACTGTTTAGTTAAATTAAATTAAAACTATATGTCCAATTTATTTTATTTTATTGTTTTAGAAAATATCAACAGGTATACTAAACGATTACTGTTTATAATGAGTTTCGACACATCATGGGATGTTGATGAACATAGAACTCTCCATGACACTATAGAGTCTTGGCAACTTAGACAAGCATTTTTGATTGCCAATAAATATAAATACCCTAAAGATCGATTAGTGACTTTGGCTCATATTTATATGAATATTGAATTTTACGAATGCACGTGAGTTAAAAGTTATTAATTGTGATTGTTACTTAAAAAGCTATACAAGTTAAAATTTTTCAAGGTATCCAAAGCCAACCATGGATCTTATTGATAATCTGTCCAGAGGTTTTACTAGTGATTTGAGAAGATTACTTAACTTAAGGCCACGAAAAATCATAGAGACAGATTTCTATACTAATGGGGCTAATAATGGTATGTATTGTTAACTTATTTACATAAACAATTTTATTTTATATAATTACATTCTAAATATAGTTTTTTATGAATTTCAGATTATGCTCAAACTGGCACTACATCAAAAATGGGTTATTCAACACCATTTGAATTTAACTGCATATTACCAGGTTTTATATTGAGAAGTAGTGGTGGAACTCCCGCTGAAATTCTTGAACAGTCATGTTGTTTTAATGGAATAGGAAGACCAGAAATAATAAATGGACAATTTCGAAATATTCTGTAATTATAATTCTTTTTCTATTAGTTAAGTTAGAATTTGATTATAAACAAATATGCTTTTAAGAGAATGTCAACTCACATGTGATGTTTCCGTCTCACTAACTCTTAAAAACATAACAAAAACTATCCTGTACAGGGCAACATTATTCCCTCTGTATTTGTAATAGAATTGTGTCAAAATTGTGCTTTAAGGAAGAATTGTATTTGTGTCGAAGCGTTTTTCATTATTTAGATTATATAAATAGAGTTAAAATTATTAATTTAAGACCATTTTTATTTTTCATTTAACTATTAAATATTATTGGAAAGTGTTAAAATAAAAAAGCTACCACACAAATGAGTTCTTCTCTATGCACTGTTGAATTTTTGTAATTCTACTATAAACTACTATAAATAATATTATGAAGGAAGCAAAGTTGTATCACGCAAAACACAAATCAATTTTTGTTATGTTGCATGTTTGTAAGAAAAAAAAACTTGAGGGTGAGGCGTCTTTTTTAAATATTAAAACACGAAATGACAAATTTGATTGAAATAAAGACACAATTAGGAATTTGTTAGTACATATACCATAATAATTTTGGTATTAATATAAACATTTTTATAATTAAACAAATTATGCGATTTTATATTTCAATTCATTTTTTTTTTTAAATTCAATCTGTCAATATATTTTTTTAATGAGATATAATGATGTATCAAGTATAGAGGTGTACAGTATTTTTGATCAAACTTTTAACATAAAAAGTTGAGTTAACTCAAAAAAGCTGTTTAATTTAGATGATTTGATTTCTATGCTTTTRTAGATGTTTGTGGATCTGTTATTTATTACCTAACAAGTTATCTACAAAATTGGCATTAGTGGTTAGGTAAACTGATCGAATAATTAAGGGAGTTACAATTCCTTTTAGGGATACCAACTCCGATTAAAGAATATTTTACAGTCTTAACTTTAACTTTTAGTAAATAATCTCTAATCTAGTAGTAGAGTTTTGAAAAATGTAATATTTATTTTTTTCATGACATTTAGTACATTTTATTTTTGTTAAATATAGTATAGCACAATTGTATATACAAAAAAAATTGATAGCAATTGCTTTTCATCAAAATTCAAAGAAATTAGCAAATAAGGAAGTTTCACGAATTGCATATGATATTTTGAAAGAAATGTGCTTTACCATTAAGGTAAATATATATAACATTTAATTTATCAAATCCATTTTTTAATGTGTTATTATAAATCCTTCATTTATTAGGTGAAAGAAGTTGATGAGCAATTACAAATTTCATGGTCAGATATTGTGAATGATTCAAAACTTAATACTTTTAACTATAAATCGGATTATAATAAAGAATTAGACAACAATGTTGGTTCTATGATTTTGAAAAACATGGGTTGGAAAGTAGGTGATGGCTTAGGGAAGAATAACCAAGGAATCACAACACCAATAAAGTAAGAACTTAATTCAAAATATGATAATTGATAATTATTTATGTAATTTGTTTGACATCTACGCATCTTATGGTTCTAAGTAAAAAGATATAAAGCATATGAACGAATGAAAAAGAGAGAAAACTAAATGAGCGAATAAAAATATTAGCGAAAACATATAGAGTAAAAAAAAATATAGTCTTATAATATAAATAAAATATTTTCATTTTTATCATTCTTATTGAATATTGAAT